TTGTCATATTCGTATATGACTTAGTCTTTAATGTTCCCGAACAGATTTTACAACTGACTGATAACCATTTCTTGGATAGCATTCATAACTTCGCATTTACTCAACAAATAAATTGAATATCAGCGGTCATTTTACTTGCACTTTTATTAATAGCCACTTCACTGCAGCACACGTGCATGGCTTTTAGTGATTGCTCTGACCAATGTTGCATCATCTGGCGGTCATCTTGCTGCTGGTGTTGGCAGTGATTCTAGGGTCTGTTTTTTTTTTTTTGTTTTTTCCTCCATTCTTCTGTAGAGAATTGTTAGCATTGTTAGCATTCCAGTGTCAAGTGAAAATGTAAAAATTTTTGGCACTTGATTTTTGTTTTGTTCTAGATGTGCCCCTGTTCCGGAGATTACGTCGGTAACAGGTCAAAAGTCAATTCCCAAGAATGTTCCAAAGCAAAAAACCCGCAAACGCGGTCCGCTTTAATAAAGAGTGACATGTTAAATAGTCGATTTTACTCCGACCTCGAAAACGAGCACATTTTGCTGACTTCACTATCCTCCCCACCCCGGCTTTTTATCCACTGCATTTTTCGATGAATGACCGGTCACCCGTGACCACTTACCTCATCTGACGTAAATTTACAGTAATTATTCGCAGGTTTGGAATTTCACACGGCCCCATGATGCAACACTACCGTCTCAGCCAAAGTTCTTTTCCGTTTGCACGCAAGAAAATGCCAGTACATGAGCTTACGTATTAAACTGTAAAGCGGCGACCATTCATACAGTTAACGATCTGACTGCTTCAAGTTTAGCACGAAGGTGCATGATCGCAGCGGCAAGCTTTTGTGCTACCACGTGGGTTAGAACAATTGTACAAGTTGGAATAAAAATAGCAGACGTTTAAAAGGATAAGTAGTGGGAGAGGACAATATCATATAAAAAATTTGTAACATTTTTTAGTACATTAGAAAAGGAAAATAAATTTAATGAAATTTTCATGCGTGAATTTTTCAGATGAGAGCGATGTCTGTCACTCTCCTTTCCCCGTACTATTTCTGTGTTTCCGTGAACATCGATAAAGCTACCACAGATGCTTTTGTGTCTTGTAGTCATTTCTCAGGTCTTAAGGGACGTACACGTGCGCGTGTCAGGAGTCGTGCCATAATTTGATGAGTTCGTCGGGGAGTGGGGAGGGGAGCGAAGGATTTCTCACGGTTCTTTGGGTGAAGTCGCCGATCTTTGATCTCTGATCTTTGGCTGCTCGGATAAGGGCACTGAGTGGGAATTTCTGTAAACAATGTGTGCGAGAATTTCTCGTGGCATTTAACTTAATTTGTGGTACCACATTTCGGAATAGGCTGAAGAGGAGCTTTGCTATGCAAGGGATGTGTCAGGTTTGGTGCGGAGTTTGTGCCTGTGGTAGGTGAAAATGCGGTAAAATATAGTGTGAAAGACGGGGATACGCTCTGTGTGAGAAGTTGCGGCTTGCTGCGTAAAAATTAGGGGATTTGTCGAGTTTTGCTACGTAGAAAGCGGCATTTTTTTCGTTACGTGAAGATTTTCAGGTTGCTACGTAAAATTTTGCCGTTCGTTACGTGAAAATTTGCTGCTTATTACGTGAAAATTGAAAATTTCTTATGTTTTTTGACAGTTTACCGCATGGATTTTGGATGCTCGCGCTATGTAAGAAGTGACGGATTATCACGTGAAATTTGACGTAACCAGCGGCGCAGCGTGGAATAATGGCTTCTGGGACACAACAACAAATACGTTACGTGGTAATTGATGAGAACTTGGAAGGTGATGCTAACTCGTGCAGCTATTCGTTCACGCTACCAGGCCCCGGAGCGCCACCTGGCAACGCAGTACCACCACCGCCACCGCCGCCACCACCGCTCTCACAGCAATCTGTGGTACCTGGGCAGCAATGTGGCGGAACTTCGCTACAATGGGGTAAGCATTTTTACGGTTTTTTTCTGCATCTATGCAATGCAAAAACGTACATTGTCGGGGGTGTCTCTGTCTGTATGTGTGTCTGTACCGATTTTTCGTTTCGAGACCCAGAAAAGCTACAAGGCTGAAATTTTGGCAACTCAATCTACATATATATGCGGGCCCTTATCCCCAAAATGGGACCTTTTACTCGCTTGGTTCCCATGCACGGGCCTGAGAAAATTTTTGGCGGATATGCTGTTAACTCAGGAACCAGAGAAACTAGAAAGCTGAAATTTTAA